GTGTTTCTGAAGCAGCTTGTACACATCTTCACACTATACCCCTTCTACCCATTGTAGAGTTTGGCCTATGGGAGAGACTTAAGATGGGCATAGGAGGCCTTACTGAGCCCGTTTCAAGAGAGGCCCATTTGGGGACGTGCTTGTGGTGATGAGGGTGAACACATGGCTTCCAGCATTGCTCGGAAAACCATGGACAGAGCTTTGGTCTAGGTCTAAGGGTGACTGAGGAGACTGGAACAGGGCAGGGGCTGCTATTATAGGCAGAAAATTGTGTCCTCTTCAGAGATCCCCTTTGAGAATGAAAGGGAAATCAGCTTGGACCTCCTCTAACTCCAGGTGCTACGGATTGTCTGGATCCTCCTGCCACCATGTATTTCCACCCCCTTGGACCCATGGGGGGTCAAGCCTAAATTTGTCGTGTCCCTTAAACATGAGGAATTAAAGTAGGGGCCAGCCTGGCTCAGGCTCCCACCTCCCCCGACTCTGATCTGGCCCTGACTCAGCTTCTGTTGCATAGGAAGAAGTGCCAGGATGCTTCCAAGATGATCTCACTTTTGCTTGTTGGCACATGTTTCATTCGGGAATAGGATAGCAAAGAGGCTCTGGGGTTGAGGGCAGGGGTCCCCCTGCTAAGACTTGAATGAGACAGTAAGGATTCTCAGATCTGAGAGGCCTAAATTCCAGTGCTTGATTCATTCGTGCAAACTCACTCTTCAGAGAGCCTACTCTACCCTAGGGATTGAAGCTAGCATCTTTGTTGTACAAGAACTCTTAACTCAATGTGGGAGGTGCCTTCAGGGGCCTGCCCAGCCCCTGTCTGTATGATAGGGATTAGCACCCTTGTTCTGTTTGCAGTACAGGGTTGTGAGGACCTGCTCTGTAGACCCCTGGGTCAAAGTTAAGGATGTGACATATGCTAGGTGCAGTGTCTAGCACACGGTGGATGCTCAACAAATATCCATTGGGAGCATGAGAGTAAATGAATGGTTTCTGCTCTCAGCCTTATTGGGGAAGGGCATGACCATTTACGGAACACCCGCTGTGCTTCACTGATGTCACAGCAGGGCGCACACAACTACAGCTAGGCCTTCAACCACACTGTCTTCCTCTGGGTCTTTGTGTGCCTCTGATGTCTTTTTCTTGCTCTCATGATCTCTCTTCTCTTTGCCCACTTCACTCTCACTCCGATGCAGGTGTCCACCTCTCCCCCTCTCTCTCGTATTTAAAAGTGAAGCAGCAGGGCCAGGCGTGGTGACTCAGGCCTGTAATCCCAGGTACTAGGGAGGCTGAGGCAGGAGAATCACTTGAACCTGGGAGGAGGAGGTTGCAGTGAGCCAAGATTGCACCACTGCACTCCAGCCTGGGCAATGGAGTGAGATTCCATCTCAAAAAATAAAAAGTAAAAAGAATAAATAAATAAATAAAAGTGAAACAGCTTTGGGGCTGACTGGAGTTGGATGTAACCTGGAAGTTCTATGACTATCCACCCCTTTGAGGGCTAGGATCCAGGTCAGTTCGTTCACCACAGTGTGCCTGACACCTAGCATTAGAGGTCATATTTAGTCGGAGCCCCAAAAATTGTTGCATGAACACATTGGTTTATATATGTGGGTGAGGAATATATGCTTGGGAATGCTGAGGGGACCAGGACAGAACCAAAGAACACTGAGCAAGAAGCTACAGTTTTGCTCTAGCTTTGGTCTAAGCTTTAAAAGATGGGTTGAAAAAATTCCTTGAGGCTTTTAGAATGTCCAGCCAAACTCCCTGTGTGAGAAATCCGATGGAGATTGTGAGTAGAAGCTTCTCTTGGGAAGGAAGAGGTTGTGTCTAGAAGCACCATCTCTGGGTTTTATCTCTTAGAAACATGAGGACCTGGGAGCAGGGGGCTCTACAGAAGCCTGATGTTTTGGGAGCACGTGATGCAACATTCCTGACATCAAGCAAGAGTCATCTCATTAAGATCTTAACTGCAATAGAGGTCCCTCCTCCTGTTCTGCTCTGGATGGTCGCATCAACCTGCACAAGTCCCTACTCTTTAGGCCCTATCCCATCTGTTAAATGAAGTGTTCAGGTTAGATGATCTCTAAGGGCTCTGCTGCTCTTGGATTTGTGAAATTAGGTAAGGGATGATCTGGAAATTTAAATAGGATTCCATGTCAGGGGGCTTTACCCTCACAGGACAATGGGAAACTAGGCTCTGATTGATTTCATTGCCTGCAGCACTGAATATGTCTGAGTTGCAGGCTGACTCATATAGGCCCTTCTAGAAGAGCTACTGGCCCAGAGAGGATGCTGCCTTCACTCTGAGGGTGGTCACCAGTACATGTGAAGAAATCCAGGTCTCTGCAGTACAAGTGTCCATAATGGGAGAAAAAACACAAATATTTCACAACTGTAAGAAAAATAGTAGTTGGTTGCTATTCATGTTTACATTTCTCCCTTCAAGTGGTCTTCCCACCTCACAACACACATACATGCATATGACCACAACTAATGCTATCAGGCAGTGTATACCTCCTAAACCACACACGTCCACATGTGCTCTTGTGGACATGCAACATACTTACATGTGTTACCTGGACACATGCCTTTGACATATATAGAGATTCTATGTGTTCCACACACACGCATATCCTGCATATTCAGACATTCCATTTTTGCCCTCGTCTACTAGCATGTCCCAATTCCTGGAATGTGGCAAAAGAGAATTAAGGATGCAGATGGAATTAAGGTTGCTAATCAGCTGACTTTATCTGAGTGGGCCTACGTAATCACAAGAGTCCTTAAAAGGTGGAGGAAAGAGGCGAAAGAATCAGCATCCAAAAGAATCAATGTCCAAATGTGATGTGAGAAAGACCAGCCTTGGCTGACTTTGAAGACGAAGGAAGGGGCCATCAACCAAGGAATACAGGCAGCCTCTAGTTGAAAAGGCAGGAAAATGGATTCTTCCCTAGAGCCTCCAGAAAGCGGTAAAGCTTCCCACTGCCTTGATTTTAGCCCAGTGAAACCTGTGTCCAGCTTCTTACCTCTGAAACTGTAAGATTATTAATTTGTGTTATTTTAGACTGTGAAGTTGTGGTAATTTGTTATAGCAGTGATAGGAAATGAAAACCCACAGAATCAGACAGAGTCCCACCCTCACGAGTCTATGGTCTGAGAGAGGAGACAGGCACAAAACCAGGTGCTAGTCGACAGAGTAAGAGAGGCTGTGAAAACACAAAGGAGGAATACCCAACCTACACTTGGGCATGGAGGGAAGATTTTCTCTTGGAAACTCCATGAAGGCAGGGACCAGTATTGACCCAGGTCAGCCACACTGGCCACTGTACCTGCACACACCCGATGCCGATAAGTATTTGCTAGGGGAAGGGAGGAGGGAGAGAGAGAGGAAGAAAGGCAAGGCCAAAACTAGGACCCAATAGATAAATAGGATTTGAGACGGTTGAATACAAGGTGGGGTGAAGTGTCCCAGGCAGAAGACCCAGGGCTATTTAGAGAACTAAGTAGAGTTTCCTTTGGCTGGGACACAGTGCCCCATGGGGAACAGGGAAAGATGAGTCGACAGAGCACAGATCAGGAGGGGCCTTATCAGCTATAATTAGACATTTGGCCCGTATCCTATGTGCAGTTGGTACATGCTCACTCTCGCTCGCTCTCGCTTGTTCTGTCTGGTTCCGTCTCCCCACCCCCACTCCCTTGGGTGATATTTTAACATCTTTTAAATGAAGTGTGTTTGTTTCATCTCATTTATGCCAAACAATGCTTATGGAACTATTTCCTCTTGTTCCCCAGGCCATACTCATGTCCCTCCCCTTCAGCAATGATTGAGGACCTACCTCCTCGGTTATCATTTTGGGTAAGATGGGCCCGTCCAGTGGACAACAAGCCCTGGATCTGTAACCACAGCCACCTGGGTTTGAGTTCATACTCCTTCATTTCCCAGCTAATGTTTAACCTCTTCCATCCCTGGTTTCCCAGTCTGGAAAATGGATCCAGGACAGTGTCCACCTTAAGGGCTTGTTGTGAGAATCAAAAGAGCTAGTTCATAAAAGTGCTTCGAAAGGGCCAGATGTATCCTGAGTAGTCAATGGCAGTTGTCTACCACAATCGTCACTCTTTGTATAGTTATTATCTACCAGCCATAACTATTGTTACATGTTACATGAGTTTCCATGGCTCTCCAGATCTCCCCACCCTTCTGTACCCACCTCTGCCCCCTAGGAGGTTGATCTGCATGGGCTCCATCAATGATCTCCCTTGCCTTCTAACTTCCAATTGGGCCCAGACTTTGTGAGTTACCAGCAAGAGATGCAGGGAGTGGCAGGAGAGTGAGGGTGGGGGATTTATTCTCCCTGCTCCCTCCTTTCAGGATTTTGCTAGGGCTTGGCTGCTTTCTTCTCATGAAGGCAGCCTCTTCTCGGGCAGCCCTGTCCCTACAACTTCCCTCTTTGTTCCAGGAACTGCTCCCTCTTCTTGCCTTTTAAGAGATAGGGAAGGTAATGACTCCCTGCTGTTATAAGCCCCAGAGTTTCCTTTGCATCTAAGTAAATAGTCTTTTCCTTAATTTCCCTCCAAGTTACACAGTTTGAGTGTACCATCCATTTTTTGCTAGAACACTGACTGAGACAAGTTTTTTTTTCAAATATTGGGACTGCTGGCTTCATAGACCGAGGCTTCATCCTGATAAGGAAGCCCTTGTCGCTTGTCCCTCTGGTCAGCTCTAGAACATTCAGCAAGGTGATCACGTGGTCACAAGATCACTTCTTTTTCATTCTTCATGAAACTGAAAATTTCAAGGAAATTTGTAAGTTTAATAGACAACTTGATCATACTCCAGACTAGAAAATGAAACAAAAACCAATTGCCCTAGGCAGAAAGTTAGGTTATAATGGGTTTCGTGCAGCCAAAGAGTCATGAGTCACAGCAGCTGCCTCAAGAGTGGGAAGGGAAGTAAACCACTGGATCTAAGGATCACTCTAGTCACCCTACAGTGACTCCTCTTTTTCCCTCCTGCCATGGTCCAGGGTAGCCAGATACTTCTCCAGGCTGTCACTTACGTGGGCTTTCCTGCTGGCTACATCACTGAAATGGAATCTCCTAGTGGCCCTTCTCCCTCTACAGCTCTGGTGTTACACTGAAAAACTAGAAGGTCAATCACTTTTATATTTACCCCCATTAAGGTTGCAGGAGCCTAGCATGTCCCCACAGCCCTCTTTCCCCTTGTCTTGTGTGTGGTTTCGTTCTTGTCCAAATTGGGTCTTCCTTTTCTAGACTGTGAGCTTGCTGAGGTCAGGGAATGAGTCTTTGTATCCTTGGTACCCAGTTCAGAGCCTGCCTTTAGGGAGTGTTTACTCTAGCACTGTGGTTAGGCAGAGATGTGAGTTTGAGTCTTGGTTTCCTTAGTCTTTTATCAATCACTTCTCAAATTATGCCATTTGTATCTTTTTTTTCTCTCTCTCTTTAGAGACAGGGTCTCACTCTGTCACCCAGGCTGGAATGTAGTGGTGCAATCATAGCTCACTGCAGGCCCGAACTCCTGGGCTCAAGCCATCCTCCTGCCTCAGCCTCCCAAATAGCTAAGACTACAGGTGCACATCACTGCATCTGGATAATTTTTTTTAAATTTCTGTAGAAACAGGGTTTCACTATGTTGCCCAGTCTGGTCTCAAACTCCTGACCTCGAGTAATCCTCCTATCTCAGCCTTCCAAAGTGCTGGGATTGTAGGCATGAGCCACTACATTCAGCTACTGCTTGTATCTTCTGATTCTTGTTTTGATACCAGTGACCTTAGATAGGGTATTTTATCTTCCTGAATTTTATTTTTCTATGTGTAAAATGGAGATTAAATTATCCTTCTAATAGGGTTGTTGTGGGGATTAAGTGAAATAGTGTATACAAAGTTCTTAGCATACTTTGAAGCTATTATTTTTATTATTATGCTAGTAAATAAAGCTTTCTGGAATTAGAGACTCACATGCCTGTTTGTCTACAGTTTCAAAATAGACAAGGGAACAAGAGAAACATCAGAAAGTCTGATCAAAGTAGAAGCATCATGTGTCTATCAACGTATCCACTGTGCTTGGTAAGTGGCAGTCTCTTGTCCTGTAAGAGACTTGGGCTTTGAAAAGGGCTTTGGATCTCAGATCTGTTGACATGAGGCTTGTCATGAACCTCAGTTTCCTCATCTCCAAAACTGCTATAGGCCAGGCATGGTGGCTCATGCCTGTAATCCCAGCACTTTGGGAGGCCGAAGCAGTTGGATTGCTTGAGCTCAGGAGTTTGAGATCAACCTGGGCAACATGGTAAAACCTCATCCTACTAAAACTACAAAAAAATTAGCCGGGAACGCCTGTGGACACAGCTAACTGGGAGGCAGAGGTAAGAGGATTGCTTAAGCTCGGAAGGTGGAGGCTGCAGTGAGACAAGGTCATGCTACTACACTCCAGCATGGGTAACAGAGTGATACCCAATCTCAAAAAAACAAAACAAAACAAAACAAATTGGTATAGTAACAGCCTCTGCTTGAGGTTACTCTTTCACTGGATGATAAATGAGCACCTACTGTGTGTCAGACATTACTCTAAGCTGTAGATACAGCCTCAAAAAAGATAAGCTAACCCTGCCACCATGGGGCTTATATTTTAGTTGGGAAAGGGGCTGGAGAAGACAGACAATAAACAAATCAATAAATTCATTAAAAAGCTAACTTCAGCATTGATAGGTGTTATGGGGAGAATGAAAGAGGACCCTGGGATACAGAATAACTTTGTGGGGGAACCAGGTTGGGATCCCTGGGTCAGGTGGTCAGGGTGGGACTCTCAGAGAAGATGACTTTTGAATTTAAATAAGAATGAAAAGAAAAAGCCAACCATAGGCAGATTTGGGGACAGCCAGTGCAAAGGTCAAAGGTGAATAAGGTCATAGGGTAACCAGGGTTAAAATAAGGTGGTGCGGCCTAACTGGCCAGAACAATGCCTGACAAAGGTGCTGCTTTCCTCAACGTCTTCAAATCCTTAAGGATCTACTGTGTGCTGACGTAAGATGCAAAAATCAGTAAATCATGCTACTATCTCTAAGAAACTCATGGTCTAATATAGGAGAAAAAAATCCACCATCAAAATAAATGAATCAAGACTGGGAAGATGAATATAACTGATAGCACCTGGGAGATGACTTAGACATGGATATGGATATGGATATGGATAGATATGGATGCAGATACACATGTGGATAAAGGTGGGGATGTGTGTTGGGAAAGGCAGTCTCTTGCATGCCATCTTTCCACCCCTGCTTGGACACCTAAGAATACGCGTTGGGCCTGGAAGACTTCCTTACCATGAAATAAAGAATCCTCAGCCTGTGCTGGACTTACCACCTTTTGTGGGAATATCTTTTTCTGTTTGTACTCTTTTGCTTTGCTTAAGGGCATGCATCACGTGGCACTTAGAAACTTCACTACTCTATCTGTTCTTTGCAGGCAGGGCATGGGCCCTTCTGCTGCAGCATAAGAGGGGTCACCCAATGACCCTTGTCAGCTGTTGGGATGGACCTGCTGACCATGGGATAATGGCACCTACTACTAAGCAGATCTTGCTGTGTCTCTTCTCTATGTGAGTAAAGTCCTGTTCCATCTAGTGCTTGACTGTGTTGTGTTTTCCGTGGCAATTTCAATACCAACATGCAGTGGGCACAAGTTCTTAGACTTCTACTCTGGTTAATCGGAAACAGATGCCACTTGCTTGCCAGTTGGATGTGGATAGATGTAGATATCAATGAAAAGAACAAATGAATAAGTGATTGAATGAGTGAATACATATAAGGAGGGAGAAGGTCCTGGGTCAGGGTGGATGAGAAGGGGGCTGAAGGAGGCAGAGGTGGGCAGAGGTGGTGATGTAGAAGAGGTGTTTACCACTGGGAAAATTCCAGTTGGGCTGGAGCAGAGGATCCTTGTATGGAAATCATGTCTGGAAACTAGCAGAAGACAAGGAGGATTTTGGATTTGCTCTGTGGCCTATCATGCTATTTATACTTATATGATTTAGAGACATTTCTATAACATACCAGACCTGACAAAGCTGCTACAACACACAACACACTAGAGTTCATATGAGTACATATTGTTTCTCCAGTTTTCCCTGGTAAAGGTGCAAGTGCAGAAAATGGTTTTCCACCCTTTCTCCATGGCCACTTTGAGGTCAGAGATTGTGTCTTAAATTCAACAAGAACGGAACTGAGATAGTAGAATCTTGTTTTGTTATGTTTTTGTAAAAAACATAAAAAGACTCATTTTAGGCTTTAATAAAGGAAGGGGCCTGGAGGCATCACTGGTGATGGTAAAAAAAAAAAAAAAAAAAAAAAAAAAAAAAAAGCCATAATTTTATGTATTTATAAGATTTTAAAATGTTAAAATGTGAAATGTAAATCAGGATGTTCAGAAAAAATTATAAGAACCCTCATGATGTTTATCAATGCATGATCCATTTGATTCTGTGCAGCCTTATGACCAAAATCAATCACAGGGTTAGTCAGATCACTGATCTCCTCTACACATATGATCTTCTTGTGGGACTCTGTTTGGCAAAGGAAGCTTTGGGGAAAGCTCATCTAAACCACTGAGTAGAGTCGAATGATTTAGACCCGAACACTTTTTAAAGTAGGAATTGACTGTCTACTAGTAAATATTTTAGTAAAGTGCCATGGAACATGCAGGTTTTTTTTGTTTTGTTTTGTTTTGTTTTGAGACGGAGTCTCGCTCTGTCGCCCAGGCTGGAGTGCAGTGGCGCAATCTTGGCTCACTGCAACCTCTGCCTCCTGGTTTCATGCCATTCTCCTGCCTCAGCCTCCCGAGTAGCTGGGACTACAGGAGTCCACCACCATGCCCAGCTAATTTTTTTGTATTTTTAGCAGAGACAGGGTTTCACCATGTTAACCAGGGTGGTCTCGATCTCTTGACCTTGTGATCTGCCCGCCTTGACCTCCCAAAGTGCTGGGATGACAGGTGTGAGCCACCGTGCCCAGCCAGATTTTTGGTTTTTTTTTAAGGTGGACAAATAATTTTATTTTGTGCATGCAAATACATGTCAAGTACTGCAAACTTTTTGCATCAATTTTCTCTCAAACACTGAAAATCATGATGCTTTATTTTGTGAACAGTCAAAGCTAATATCTCTTCACTTCAGTGCCACAGCAAAAACATAGAGAATTCACTCTTTGCTATTCACTATCATCACAACCCTCATTCTTCCATCTCTGCCCTCCCCCCATATACAACCCTTATAAATTCTAGTCTTCCCCCATTTAATCCTATTCCTATAGCACAAAGGGAAACATTGTAATTTGGACATTCAAATTGAAATAAATGGAATAGAATTTATTCCCATATATATTCCCCATTTCATTATACAGAATTATTTTAAATTATAGTTAAAACTATAACTATAAACATACAGTTTTGAGCAATATAACTTGCCAATAAATCTTCCAGGTTAAATTAGTTGCCAATTATATTACTAAAGTTACCAGGAAAAAAAAACTTGAGCTATTGTAAGTGTTATGAGCTATTGTAGTTACCAGCTCAAAATAAAGTTTCAGAAGTGTTGATATTAAGCCAACCTTGTTGCCAATAATTTGAAGGAAGATCACTTATCCATTGAAGTAATAAGTTTAGTCAGACAGAATACTTTTTTTAAATCATCTCTGTGGGAATGTGGGGTGGGACACCTTTGTGACTTATTATGCAACCATGATAGGTAGGAACCAGTGCTGGCATTTGTAATCTCAGGGTCTACATGAAGACAGCCGCAAAAAATGACGGTTGTTGCTGATACCAAGAGAAAGTTGCAGCTCTTCAAAAAAAAAAAACAAGAATAGGTCTGGGCATGGTGGCTCATGCCTGTTATCCCAACACTTTGGGAGGTTGAGGAAGGAGGATTGCTTGAGCCCAAAGTTCAAGACCAGCCTGGGCAACATAGCAAGACTTTGTCTGTACCAAAAAAAAAAAAAAAATTGCCTGGCATGGTGGTGTACGCCTGTGGTCCCAGCTACTCAGAAGGCTGAGGTGTGAGGATCTCTTGAGCCTGGGAGGTCAAGGCTGCAGTGAGGCATGATTGCATCACTACACTCCAGCCTAGGTAACAAGAAAAGACACCCTCCAAAGAAAACATAATCAGGAAGTGAGTTTATTTTGCTTTCCCCTGGTGTAGTCCAATTGATTTGTGTTTGAGGCATGTGAAAGCTAAATGGTTGGCCCTGTATAGGTCATGAGTCATCCCTATATCCTACAGTTTAACAAAAGACAGCCCCACCTCTTCCCTTCCCCTCCCCAAGCCCACCACTGAAATCATTGTAGAGGTAGTGGTCTTCTAGTATGTGACCCTTGGGCTACAATATCCACAGGTTCTAGGCCATATTTCCTTCACATCCATGTAATGAGCCTCAAAACCTAAATGTCCTATTTTCCTTGAGGACATCTAGACCCAAAGCATCCCCATTTTGGAAGCCCAGGACTGGAATGGGAAAATATGACTCCATTCCTCTCCTTCATATGTGTTTTTAGGTTAAAAAAGGCAGGTGCAAATCACAACTGAATCTGAAACCTCAGAAGAGGCCAAAGCAAATCAACTTAATAAAAATAACTTATCATCACCAAACATGAAGAAAAACTTCAGCTGTGGCACCTCCAAGCAATGACCATGTCCCTGGCTGACATAAAAGCCCCTTCAGGACTTCATGTTGATTGAAACCCCATGATCTAGCCTCAAGTGAGGGCTGAGTGGGCTGTTCTTGAGCCAAGTGTCTGTGGTTGTGGATAAATATATTAATATCTTAGCAACTTGCAAAATCCACAGTACCTTAGACAGAATTTGTCTTGCATTCTCTTAACAGGAGAGCAGGTTTGAGATGGGGACCTGAGGATATTCTGAGCCAAGCAAAGAGGTTCTTGGTAAACACACAACTTCATTTCCTTCTGGTCATGCTTGGCTGCCCCTTGCAAATTGGAGTCATTTTGTCGTGTGACCTTCTAGTGTTCTGAAATTTGAGGTTTGCTGTCTGTTTTCAAAATGTAGAAACCCATCTCAGTCA